TGCAGGTGGCCGCCGACTACCTCCCATGGCCGGCCGGCCAAGGGTCAAAAGGTTCATTGAGAATAGTGCCGACCACCAACAGAAAAGAGGGTCCTCCCATGTGTGCACAACACCAACCCTGTGGACAAAAATTGGAGAAAAGTGAAACCAGGAGAGAGAACAACCCAAACTTTTTAGGAGGGGTTCAAAAAAGGGTCAGAAAGGATTACTGGCCGCCACCAAATATTGGTGGCCTCCCAGATGTATACATCCACAAATATGGGGTTTAGGGTGGAAGAAATGGCCCAAAGGGTGGTCAACATTGCTTTGAAGTGAGGAACGGGCGACGGAGGGCGATGAAGGAATAAGCTGGCTGATCAGAACAATTACTGGCCTCCCACCCTTCTACGGCCTTCTTCCAATGAAACAGAGGTCCCTACCAAAAAATGACCAAAACCAATGCAAAATGAAGGTTCAGGTACCGAAACGCGCAGCTCGAGGCCCCAAAAACTGACTGTTAGGCACCGGGAGTGGTGTTTGACCACGAAGTCCGTCCTCTTCCGGACCCAGTGTCCTCAAAAGGGATCGCACAAGAATACATGCCAAAAAATGGACCAAAAACGGAGTGGTTAAGCGGTCCCGAACTGAGGCACACGGCCAACAGTGCTCCGAAAATCGGGAAACCGGACTCCAAACTGGCAAAAAATTGCCTACGACCATGAAAACGTAGCTACAGCACACTGGAGATATCTGCGGGACCTCTCCTCCCTTCACGAAGAGAAAACAGGAAAACAGAGCCTGGTTCGTAAACCGAGGCAAAACATGAAAGAGTCCCGGAAGTCCGGAGGCAAGGCTCGCAGCCGAGAACTCTGAAACTTCTGAACGAGCACAAATATGCAATATCACCGAGCCGCTCACTGGTGACTCTGAGTCTTAAAGGGTCGGTCAAAAATGGGTGTCTACAGTTGCCCCTCTTTGACAGACTCGAAAGTCACACGTGACGGGAGTGAATGTCAAAGCCCAAGACGACCATATTTGACAAGGCCGAAGACTTAGACAAACATACAAAATAAAAATGTGCCCGCAAGGCATGCCGCAGGCAGGGGCAAATGCAACCGAAAATGCAAGAAGCCGAGGTTAACTCAATGATTCATGCAAATGCAGCAAAGATGTAATGAAGCAAGTATTCGCAAAATAGATCAATAGTTTTTAAGGCAAGAATGCAAAGCAACAACTACATTCATGGCAGTTTAAGAAATGGCGGAGAATTGTTCAATCCTCGCCATGTCTTCACACGGAGAAGGTACATAACCTGCGCGATTCGTCTGGTTGCACTAAGCCTCCATGAACCGTACTTTACAATATCGTGCCTGCAAAATAAAGAAACTCAACATAGCACAACATATCTAACAGCATAACCGTTCAATGTGATATCGAATGGCAGACAATTGCGGTGTTGATAGAAAAGTGCATCGCAATGCGGGAAGAAATGCGCGTTTCGGCGAGGGCCGACTCGCTCGCGGCCCCCGGTCCACCTTCCGGAGAGGTTCACAACAATGTTCCAAAAGGATACATCTCACTTTCCGATGAGTAAACGATGAGACATGCCATTGGGAAGTTGAAGCTAAGTTTCCGGCGGAGCGATTTCCGACAGAAAGTGCACCTTCTTGTACTTTTAGGTCTCGGGGACTCCAATCCTCCTCAAAACTGCAGGTACCTTGGAGGGCATGTGGGGACCACCGGCCAGTTTTATTGGGAGAGAGGAGGCACCGCATTTTTTTAAAAAGTAAATGGCCGGCC